AGTTTCTTATATGCCATTTTCAATGCCCATGGAGGTTTCAGATTTTTCTGAGAGAATGAATCGCGATAACAGCGCCTCTGGCGGCCCAAATATTACATTATGCATAACATGTTTGTAGATGTATTCTTCTAATACTCTAACCACGAGTATTTACTGTCACAGCATTTGTTCACTGACGTGACTAACATGATCTGGTTTTTTGTTCGAACAAAGATATCATGTCTTGTCACTGGAACGTAGTAACATCATCTGTAATCGTGTTTGCAATCTGTAAATTCCACATGTACTACACTTTTAATTAACTGGAGAGATACACTGGATAGGCATTCGTTGCGGATCTCCGACCTTGTGCAGTGAACCATTGTTGGGGCGGAACAAACGTTGCTGTGCGAATTTCGTCGGAATTTCGATTGCATCGCAGTTGTTTGGTCCCAGTACGTTTGATACGTGAATACAGGTAATGTTGACCTATGTTCAATGGTTAGGTAAACTATATTTAGCAATAGACAGCTTGTATACTTTTATGATGTGACTAATAGAGACACGATTATACAGTCAGCGTCATATAGATCGTAACAGACAAGATATGCAAATATATAGGTACACCAAAAGTAATCAATTATATCGGTACAACAAAAGTCCTCAAATTAATAGATACATTCACCCTGCTCAAATACATCGGTACATACACAGCGTCAAATATATGAGTACATGCAAGGTGCCCATAAATATCGTGGCAGCCACAGCGTCATAAGTAACGAAGCAGTCAAGGTGTGCAAAAATATCGTAACATTTGACAAAATTGAACTCTATCTCTATATACTTGTAGTACAATTTTGAATAAACTACTTCTGTTATATTCATTCGACACTTTGCATCAAACCACTGAAGTAAAAGATACATTTTTTAGGATGAAAATCTTAACTTTAACTTTCAATTCGATTAAGTTAAAAACATGTACTTAGACCCCTAGACCCTTAGACCACTAGACCCTTAGACCCCTAGACCCCCTTTTTTTTTATAGTCAGGAAATGCATTTACGCACGCCTACGCCGGGCGGTGCAATGGCGTAGGGAGTGTGGGACTCGCCGGCCACAGAAGGTGACCAGAATACCCACTAAAACCTGACTGCCCTCTGACGCATCGGGACGGGACCACGGGCACGCTTTCCGCGGCCCCGTCTGCGCCAGCTGCCGAGGCAGCTCCCTCACGGGGTGGGGCCGCCCTCAATGGCGGGCAATGGACTCCCCCGCATCCATTACCCGAGGGCTATCGTGGGGGGGGAGGGCGGCGACATATTGCCGCCTTCTCCTCCCCACTCTCCGACGTCGGAGCGGGGGCGCCTGAGGGTCTCTCTCGCGCTCCCGCTCCTGTGCCTCCTTCTGCGAAATCACCTCTTCGCAGAAGGAGGCAACGGCGTCCCAGGACCTCTCACTTCCTAGCATGGCGCGTATAACGCCGGGAAGTGAGAGGTCGTCGCCGATCGCCGCCACCAGGGTGCGGCGCTCTTCTGACCAGGCGCAGCACACTTCCAGCGTGTGCTGCGCCGTATCCTCCGGGTCGCCGCACCCATGGCACAGCGCCGTCTCCTCCCTTCCTATCCTCCACAGGTACCGCCCGAAACAGCCGTGTCCGGACAGCACCTGTGTCAGACTGAAGGTGAGGGACCCGTGGCTCCTCCCACACCATTCCGGGAGCTGTGGGCGTATGGCCTCTATGGTTTGCACGTCATATTCGGCGTGCATTCTCCGTGGACCGTGGAGCTCCGGGCCACTCGCCCAGAGCTCCACGGTCGTCCTTCTCCTCGCCTCCTGGGCACGGGAGAGCCCCTCCGGGGCCGGTACTTCGCCCCGGGCTCTTTGTTCCGCCCGCGCCCAGTAGGCTTCAGCCAGCACTCCCGCCTCTATTTCCCAAGGCGGGGTGCCGGCCAAAACGCAGGCCGCCGCGTGGCCTACCGTACGGTAGGCCCGGCAAGCACGCGCCGCAACAGTGCGTTGCGGCCTGCGGAGGAGGGCCCTGTTCGATGCGTTAAGGGCGTCTGCCCATATTGGTGCACCGTACAGGGCCATACTTCAGACGACCGTGGTGTACAACAGCCTTGCATGTACACCCGGATCTCTCAGGTTAGGGAGGAGCCTCGCAAGGGCTGTGGCCGCGCCCACGAGCCGGGGGGTCAGCGCTCGGAAGTAGACCCCTAGACCCCTAGACCCTTAGACCTTTAGACCCTTAGACATGTGTATATGTAAACAGAGAAGACTTGCTATTTTTAGCAATCCATTACCTTCTATTTTATTTATTTTTTGTAAGGTAAGACAAAATAATTTAAACAATACTTTCGTCCATCAATTTCTGAAATGTTATTTTTTTTACACACTGGTCTTCTCTTTCCTTTTTTTTTCAAATACAGTTTATTTCCGTACTCACGGTTTTATCCTCGTCGCCAATGTATTTTGAATTCTGAATTTCTTTTGAATAAACTACTTCTGTTAAATTCATTTGACACTTTGCATCAAACCATTTTTCAAAATTTACTAAAAGTGTTCGTCGCGGATGACAGATATTAGGTCGATAAAACCAAAGTTTGGTCTCGTGGCCTTACCGTTCGCCGCCGTTGGTACGTAAGGTCGGCGGTTCAAATCCCAAGCCACTATTTTTTTTAATATATAAGCTTTTTAATTTTAATATCGAAGCACATGTAATTAAACTCTATCGCCGTAGTTATTAGGTACTTTTTGATATTGCCTTGGACTAATGAGTTTGACCGTTAAAGTACTTTTCTATTTCAAACAAAAATGAAGGAGATAAAGCGATGCTATTGGCATGTAATTTGTTTATTCCTCATGTTTATTAAACTTCTACCGGTAAAAATATCACGTTACCTTTCACTGATACTGATTATATTTACGAAACAAGGAAAAAAACTGAATGTCAATATCCAAACTACATCAAATTTTTGGTCGATTGCAATAAACATTCCAGTATGCGTGGGCGCGCACACATATGTAGATAACACTTGTACGTATAGTTTCCGCGCATACCATTCATAAAACCCGCAATGACAATCCACGCTCCGCCCACTCACTTCACCCCGCGATGGTCTGACCTAATACTTGTTAACTTTTTTTAAATTTCTTTCTACCCGACAGCGAAAATTATAAAATAAAAAAAAAATTGTCTAGTAAAATTTTACATTACCAAATTTTTACTGGTTATGAAAAAACAAACCTGTATAAGTGATTGATAAAATGAAAAAAAAAGTAGCCTGAGATTCGAACCGGTAAACTTACATTTTTTTTTATATCATAAGGCGGCAAACTAGCGAGCGGCCACCTGAAATCGCTGAAGTAGCGAAGTGACCGTTGCCCATAGACATACGCAATTGCATATGCGTTACCTACCTTTAATCGACAGAGGAGAGGATGCACAGAAAGAAAATATTTTCCCTTTCCATGCATCCACTTCCCATCCTTTCCTTAAAAGAAAAGGGTGTTAAGGGAAAGAGGACTAAATTAGGCCTCCGGGACGCACACTCATCAGACGAAACGCGGAATTGCTCCCACTTCACGCCTGTTTTCTGTGTGGTGGTGGTATTTCACCGGACGAACCTAGCCGATTCGTGCGAAGATGTTAAAGCGGGTTCTACCACTCTTAAAATACACATATTACGGCAAACATACTAGGATACTGAGCCAAACTAGTATATACTGTGACAAGGCAAAATTTGATATTAGTTATTACGTATCTGTCATGTTCGGCGTGACAAACTTTTATATTTAAGCGTTATGACAGGAGAAGAAAAATATTGGGTTGCCCAGTAAGTTCATGCCGCTTTATAAGGAAAATTGAAACCCTGTCCTCTTTTTTTTTGGAAACATTTTTAAATTATATTGGTACGACTCTACACCTAAAACGTCTTTTATTTTTGGCCAAAAATTTAATAATTAGTATTTATCTCAACCAATGAAATGAAATTATACACAATATAGAAATTTTTGTGACGTTTGATAATGGTGGAAATCCGAAAATGAATCCACTACAGTCTATTCAGCTACAGTCTATTGTAAGCTTCATATCGAAAATCGGAACGAACTTTCCGGACAACCTATAATGTTAATACAAAGTGTCAAATGAATGTAACAGAAGTAGTTTATTCCAAATTGTATCACAAGTATATAGAGATAGAGTTCAATTTTGTCAAATGTTACGATATTTTTGCACACCTTGACTGCTTCGTTACTTATGACGCTGTGGCTGCCACGATATTTATGGGCGCCTTGCATGTACTCATATATTTGACGCTGTGTATGTACCGATGTATTTGAGCAGGGTGAATGTATCTATTAATTTGAGGACTTTTGTTGCACCGATAGAATTGATTACTTTTGGTGTACTTATATATTTGCATATATTGTCTGTTACGATCTATATGACGCTGACTGTACTTTGCCTAGAGGGAAAGTACAGTGTTAGTTCCATTGTGAAGTCTTATAGTTTAAAAGATTGGACTGATTCTAACAGTTGATTCTGAATGTGTTATTTCAGAATGTGTTATTCGATTTGTCGTTTTTCTTAAATAAGTATCGTTTGTTAGAAAGCGTTTTTTCACAAACAGATACCGCAGATCATATAACTTTAACTTGCCTTCCGTAATTTGTATACGATTGCCAGTAACATTTTTGTGACTATTCTGATTATTGAAAGATTTCTTTTTTAGCCAGAGGTTATACTACTTAACTGAAGACTGTTTATAATTAAGCTATGTATATAGAATTCACAAATTTTCTTTATAATATTTACTAAGTCGTTTCGATTTTGACGTGAATTTTTAGAACCTTCTATGTTTAAATAGAAAACAAAGTGTATTTAACTTAAAAATATACTTGAACTATTATGTACTGTATTATGTTTTGATTAATTCTATAATTTTTTTGTATATAAGTCAACAGCGGACCAAAGAACTCTTGGAAATATGTGCTTAATTTTAAATAAAATAAAGGTAATTCAATTCGAAATACTTTATTTCAGTTGCATAAAAATGTATTCATATAGGAACCGATTGCTCGTATACTGTATGTTAACATGACATAATGGTTTATTTGATGATATTCCTTTAAACATATTTTATATGAAACCGGTGGTGATAACGCCGGGAGACACAACACGATCGCCGTAGAGTCCATTCACTACAGTTGGTCCCGCAACGACAGTCTGTGAAATGACAATAATCAAAAGTTATAAAAAAAACATTGCTTTACGATTAACTTGCATATTGTAAAGTTAAAAGCAATATAGTAGCAGAACAAGAATGCCTTTTTATTAAAAAAAAGTAGCAATTATTAGGTTAACTGTAATTACATATATTGACCAAATTCAAAAAACAAATGCTATATTCATTATTATTTTTTTATTTATTTAACAATACAATTTTGAATACAAATAAACATATGTTTAACGTTAAATGAACCTCATTGGTTTGGTATTTTTAATTTATTGCTTTAATAACATACCCTAGGGGCGAGAGGTGCGACAATGCCCGGCCATGTCAGCAACTGGGGGTTGGCTGCCGCGAAAGCGATGAAGCAAAGAACGAAAATAACCTGTAAACAAATAATTATTATTATTTTAATTCGCTAATATTTAGATTATAAACGTAATAAATCAAGTTTCTTTTCTTGGAAAAAAGTTCAATTTATATAACACAGAGCTTGCTATTTTCACGTTAATATTTTTTATGTTATTATTTATTTCGCGTTTTCACAAAAATAAATAAAAGAAATATTATTTTTTGTATTAAATGTATTATTTTATAATACGTACTAAGTATTTCATTTTTATTGAAGTGTATGACTGTATGTACAGACAGACTATGTCTTAACAGAAGATATTCCTACAATATATACTAGAGGTGCAGGAAATTGTTGCAGAACCAGTACAATTGTGGGCGTTCGCAAAGAATCCCTTAAGGTCATGTTTCTTCATTGAATATGTATAATAGATACAAGCAAAAGTAAATAGGCCTATAATAGAATTCTCTTATTTAATTAACCTGCACTTGTTATGTAAAACTTAAATAAAAGGGCAAGCTTTTAAAAGTTTTGATGTCGTGCATTTTAAAGAACATTAGGTACTATTTGGTTAGTTGGCATTCTCCTCTATATCTGTGCAGATTGGGGAAACATCCCAATGTTGCTAATTTGTGTGACTTCGCTTCATAGTTTATTTTACTTAATAGTATCTTAGAGGAAACAGGCGGCATAGAATGGGATACATTTATGCCAACAAGCAATGCACATTAGACTATTGTATTAATTCATGGATGTGTTTTATTGGCGCGTTTTAAAGATACTCTCATAGTTTTATGCAATATCACACATTTTCCTCCCTATTGATTCGAAGATTGTAGGGGTTCTGATGATTTCAAAATTGATGTTTTCAGAACAGTGTATATCTTACTTCTTACTAATAAAAAAAATATTATTATTATAAATGTAAATGTGTAGATAGATAGATGTATGTTCGAAGCTATCTCTGGAACGGCTGAATGGATCTCATTGAAATTTAGCATACATATAGAATATAGTCTGGAAGAACACATAGACTACTAATTATGTTTTTTTTTATTACACGCGGACGGAGTCATTGGCGACAGCTAGTTGAAGTATAAAATTGAGATATTCTTACCGTGCGACTCCACTGTCGAAAACAAAAGCATTTTTTTTTTAATCATTTTCATAAAAAAGAGGTGTGTTTAAGAACAAATGTTTTAGGAGTGAAAACCGACAGTTATGGCTTTATTACATCGGGCATATCCAAGTATTACTTATTAGTGTCCGACACATTAAGTACTACGTTTACTATCTTAACCAATTAACTGGTTATATTAAACGGCAATAATCATAAACATAAAATAAAAATAAAAATTAAATAAATAAATTTCATTGATTTACTTAACTTAATAACGTGAGGTTTTTTAATCAAATCTTAGACAAAGTTTCTAAACAAATTAGCGTAATAATACAGATTGATGACAAGAATTAATTGTTACATACCAGCACAGTTATAAAATTACAACCGTTTAAGGTCAACAACTTTTTTAAATACAGTAGGCGTTAGAAAAGAACATTTATAATCTTCTACATTGTAACAAGCAACAATCTCTGTACGAGTATTGTATAATTGATAGTTATTATAAAGGTCGTTTCTCACATTTATTTTACGCGAGCGACCGCTAAGAAAAGCTCAATAAGATGGTGCTACACACTTTGGTACATATGACTCAGCGCGTGCAACCCAAAGAAAGTATAAAGTTAAATGCTTCAAATGTAGAACTTGCAGTAGCAGATTTATCCCACTTATTATATTAGAAAAAAAAATATTTTTTTTTTATCGGACATGCCTCGACAGACACGAACACATTAAAATGCAATTACAGTAACAATAACATGACTGATGATACATTTTTATTTTTATTGTAAAAAAGAAGAAGCGTTAGAAGTGTGTCCGGACCACGCTAAATGGAGGTCTGTAATATCTGCCTACCCTTCTAGACCTTATATTTGAATCAATTTGTAAAGTACGGTTAATTGTTCATCGAAATTGGCAATTACTTGGAAGATTATTCAATCCCTTCTTAAAGCTGTTAGTTAAAATTGATATTTATCAAATCCATTCATATTGTATTCCTTAATTCTATAGATTAATTATAGAAAATGAAAGCATTTTTTGTACTCAAAGGTCTTTATTTTGTTTACATCATATTGCATGTGTATGTAGAAATCGATTGCTCATTGTTCTTGTAACGGGTTGCTTATTGCCAGTTTACACTAAGCCAGCAGCGATAACTCCGGGCGAAAGAACACGACCTCCCCAAAGCCCATCGTTCACAACAGTAGGACCGGCGACAATGGTCTGTAAAAAAAAAGTACAAGAGTTAAAGTATGAACGTAAAGAAAATATCACAAAAGTCCTAGTATTCAAGTTTACGGATTTTTAATTCATAATACTTTACTTTCATAAGAAAAGAATAATGACCGACTTTTTCTAGGTTCTACTATAGAACTATATTCTACTTACTCTAGAACCCAGAGGTGCCACGATGCCGGGCCACGTGAGTAGCTGTGGGTTGGCAGCCGCCAACGCCACCAAGCACAAAACGAAGATTACCTGCACACAAATATTATTTACATACTAAATGTGTTGTATTAAGTTAAATACACAAGTAAATGTAACAAATATTAAAGTATTTTTTGAAAAACTAGATAATATGAAAAGGTTTAGTCTAGATATTTAACTAGCAATAGTACTTTCAAATGCAATTTCTACCAAAAAAGTTCCAAAGTTTTCCTTCCAAAGCTTTTATTTAGGATAAATACTACGGTAGTAACTTTTAAATCTTTTGCGGCTAGTTGTTAATAATTCAAAAAATACGTACGACGTATTTCATGGTGGAATAGAGTTGTTTGTTGAATTGCTATCTCAAACTATGATTTACTTCAGAAGAGCCCAGCATATTTATAGGTCTGAAGGCGATTGTTGTACAACCAGTATAATAATATTACCATATTTCCAGCCCTCTAAGGACATGCTTCTTTACATTATTAATGATATTGTAATGAAAATCAAAGCCACTTACTGACTTGTATCAAAAGTTTTTTTCTTCGCTGAACAGAATTTCCGTTTAGTTTACCCCTCGTCCCATCGTTTCCTTACAAGAAAAGGAAAAAACAAGCATTTTGTCCATTTCGTCAATACACAACACAACTTATGATTGTGCGAAAAACACAACAAAAATCCGATTTTAGACTTGTTCTTTTGCTACTTATGAATAAGATCAAAAACAGTTTTATATGTTTAGTCAATTTATTACAGATATGGGACATGTATTAATACAAAGGAAAACGAAATCACAATATAGAGTACTTATTAAATAATTTCCGAACAATAGCCATCCGTTTAGGGACATAATAATTTGCGTAACATTAAATTAAACTAACTTCAAACGCTGCTGTAAATCTGTAAGAATAAATAGAAACATTACTGTTAAATTAATTTCTTACTAAATTTCGAGAAGACATGACTGTTTTCTATCTATCAATTTAGTAAGAGTCAGAGGTGGTTTAACGAAATTCTACTTGTAAAATCTAAATTATTGCTTAAGTTTAAAAAATTATAAGATTTATAATAGAATAAACTCATATAAAGTGTTACTATGCGCCATAAATGGCAAAACACAGTACCTAGGTTTAATTTATTCGACACTTGCGAATGCAATGGTGTGATGTATAAACTAGAAACAGTTGCATCATGTAATAATATCCATTGTTGTCAACTTGAAATAATTATCATACATTTAACTAAATCTATTTAACAATAAAATATAAACTAGTCAGGTGTTAAAAGAAACTTCGTATAGTATTGTCTTATAATTTCTTGTAGAGAATAGCTGGTTTTTATAAGCAAAATCTTAGGTACATGACTTGGGAAAGTATCGGGTAAAATAGTCCACCCCTACCCTAAAATTAGGGAAAATTAGCACACTGGAGGCCGTGAAGGTACAAGATACAATTGACCTGATTACCTTACATGACGTCTTGGTAAGCTATCGAACTAGTGAGGGGTCGATATCAAGGCGTACGTGGTCGTCAAAAGCCTCTGACTCACGACACTCGAGTGCATTAGCTCGGTATACTGCGTTCTCTATCCACACCGCAATACGATCCGATATCGCCACCATGAACCGCGCCAGTCGACCAGGGTGAGAACGCGATGGCTTCGGTTCACCTGGTGAAAAGTACAAGAATTCTAATTAAAGATTTGCTGATAAATTTGTATAGTACGATTTCTTAATAAAAGTCTTCCACCATTTGCACACTTCCTTTTTTAACCTTTACATGCTTTGGATCATCAAGAAGCCTAGAAAGAGGTTGGCAGTGTATATAATGCCTGATTTAAAGACTGTCTCACTGCCGCATTGGTTACTAAAAGGGTTTCTTAATGTTCATTATGTTAAATTACGCTACGCTACTGTTTAGGTCCCCAAGTTACAGTGAATTATGTAAATACCCAGTATATCAGCAACTCGTTCTAGGACGATATCGGCAATACTCCTCAGTCTGTTTGACACCAACATCTCTTTCTCCCCCTTAGCTATGTAGTCGCAGAGCCGATACGCCACCTTCAAAAAATATTCAAACAATTACTAAAATATTTCCGTCCCCTCGTAATGTTTTGAACCGTACATCACTCGCTTTTTAAAACAAATTTAAATAAGATATTCTTTTTGGTTTTCAAACCTACTTAGAGGCCTTTTCTTACCCTCCCCTTATGTACCCAAGAACTTTTCAAACTACAATTATGTACTTGAATAGAACCTGTGCACTGAAGTTGATAAGCCACTTCTCTCGTTGACGAAGCTCCCTCTCCAAGTCCGCCTGCTCTTTGCGACTGATCGTCGTACCGAAACCAGGCCAACGCTTGTGCTGGCCCAGAGCTTGGAAATATTGCTCTGTTTGCCTAAATTCAAATGTAGCTGGTTAACTATACTAATAGTAGTAGTATAATTGACAACGATAAACGGTACGATATTGGAAAACTGTTTCTATTCTTCTGCTATGTACAAAATGGTTTTCTATTTAGCTACTAACGTTATCTTGTTACAGCAAGTTTATTTGAAACCAGAACGTTCGATAGCTTGTTTATGCAAATCTAGTTAAAAATACAGCATACTCAGGACTAAGAAAATAGTCCTCTTCTAGGGCACTTTTTATCTTGTCTCTCCTGTCCACAGGTAGAATGGCACACTTCTCATCCCAGAGAGAGCGCAGCCGTCGAGACTGGGGTCGGGCGAGCATTTCAACACGCTCCATGTGGCTTCGTAGTGAGCGAGACGCACGACGTTTTCTTATTTCACCTTACCAACAAAATAATCAAAACTTAGTCAATAGAAACTGATCATGATTATATCTGCTTGGTAAGATATATTACTACGGATTTTCCTGCACAAGAGTATTATAACATGGTTGTCAGAAACGTCAACCAACCTGCACCTTAGGCACCTTACAAAGGCTAGACTTGTATCAACAGAAACACAGGATCTTGGTGGTCGGAACATCTATGTAATGGCATCATCTATCTATGCATAATATATTATGTATATAGATTTCCAAGTTGTTACTACTTGAACAAGGAAGCACAAATCAACTAAGGATTTTTTCTAATCAATAAGATCATTGAATCGAAGTCAACTCAGACGACTACCAATGAACTAATAAACTTACCGGAACTGCTTTTAGCGTTTTCAGATAGCGATTCAGATCCAGATCTAGAACCTTCATCTTCGGATCTCTTTTTCTTAAATTTTCCAAAAAGAGGCATTGTGATACTTTTCAGATACACAAAAAATTTTGCATTAAAATAGAAATACTAAATTACTACGAGATGGCTACGCCGGTTGACATTTTGACAAATTTTGACGCAGTCATTAGCTGATTCGAATAAAATCGCACAAAACATTAACAAAAAGGTTATATAGGCCATTAGGCACTCAGTCAATAGTTCTTTTGAGTTTTTTTCTTTTTTTAATTAATCAAAAGCAAACGGGTAAGCGGCCACCTGAATTCGTCGATAGAGAAGAGAAGGCACAAAATTAGGATATTTCCCCTTCCTATGCTCCCCTCCTCCGCCAAATGCACTTCTCCTTCACATCATTTCCTTATAAGAAAAGGGTGTGAAGGGAACATGACTGAAACTCCTGTATGTACACTTATCAGACGAAACGCGAAATTGCTTCCACTTGAAGCCTGTCTTCTGTGTGGTCGAGGTATTGTATAAAATAGTACCTGTGGCCCACGACTCCGTCCGCGCGTAATTAAAAAAACCTAATAAGTAGACTATGTTTTCTTCAAGACTATGTTCCACATCTGTGCCAAATTTCAACAAGATCCATTGAGACGTTCCAGAGCTACCTTGTAACAAACATCCATCCATCTAAACATTCGCATTTATATTAGTAAGAAGTAAGATGTCTACAAAGATCATTATAGAAGTAATTTTAATACAAATTTAATTTAAAAAATGAAACAATTTAATTGCTGTATAACATTTATTGCATGACTATCTAGCAACTTTTGATCGTAGACATAGCCAGCTATCATAATCAGGTATTCCGTCGTGTAAAAATCCTTTCTCATCGTTATTTATTTTCTCATAAGGTAGATGCCAGCCATTGTCATTTTTCTGAGCACACGGTGTAAATTGTAGAGGGGGCTGGAAATTAAAGAAATATATTATTTAAAAAAAAATTGTTTAAAGTAAAATTGAACATTCTGGTATATATACATGAAATCCTTTCTACTTCTTTTTTCGAAACCACAAAATTACATAGAATTAAAACGTAACATAAGTCTTATTGACTGAGACCAAAATCTCCATATAAAACATATTGCCATCCCTGTCATTATACTTGACAAAACAGAGATAACAATACATTTTAATCAGAAATTTAGGTCTCAGAAAGCCACTGTTAATGGCCATAAACCATATTCTTTTGATATGTAAAAAATAATTACCTTTATAATAGTATTTCTAGCTGTAAAGACTTTCCACTGATGCTGCCATTGCCATTTTTGAAATATCTGCTTTAGCTTTTCATCTTTCAATACAAATCTATGTCCACGCAACAAGTCTTTGGACACTATGTCTGTATTCGGTCCGCTTAAAATAGCTGCAGTTAGGAAGAATGGATCATCTTGTGAACTGAAACAAATTATATTACCTAAATAAATAACTCATGTATACTAAATATTCACAAATATTCTGTTGAAAAGGACAGCAGAGACTGTAGACAATTAGATAATAAATTATTATTTTATAACACATTCAATGTCACCTTGGAAGGTCTGGTCATATAGGCCACAGTAAATCTGGCCGGACAAATCACAAGTTTAAAATGTCAGTAACCACCATTCCCACACTTAGAAAAAACAAGGTTCGCCATTGAAAAACTATGTTACAGCAGAACTAGTCGTCATAATTTTCATGTATTAGAGTTAACTTGTAGTGTAATAAGTGGCACTCAATGTGTCAATATTAAAAATATAAAAGTCAATCAAAAGAGAAAGGTATACTCACATATCCTCAGTAAAAAAGCTGCATGTTTTACCCATCAGATATTCCATTGTCTTTCTATGCCACTTTAACATATGTTTACGCCCCAACAACAACATTTTCTTGTTTTTTCTATCAAAATAATCAACAACCGTTCTTAATAGAGCCATTTTCTGTATATGGGAACCATTTCGTACTGCATAAGCAATGTTCAATGCATCTAAAACAACGTCATACGGTGCAGTTGCATCAACAAACTTTATAAATGCACTCAATTCTTTTGGTGATGTTTTGAGAAATAAATCTGATCCAACAATGAGTTTATTCTTTATATCATTTTGCAGTAACTTAAACTCTTCATTGGATATTTTAAGACAATCTAATGAACTGTTACATGATACACACTGGCCACTGAAATTCAATAAAAACATGATTTTTTTACAAAGGTTAAATATTGAATGATAGATTTTTTGAGATATAACAAAAAGTGCTATACCTATCCTGTGTTATTTTTGTATAATCTGCTTTCCATCCCGATGAAACATATTTATTTCGTATCTCATCTGCAGTCTCCTTTGTAATAAGAGTAAAATTTGCCGAAATATGGAAACAAATTTTATCCAGATGTTTTAAAATTGTGCCTTTCGTTTTATACTTTCTTTCATAATATTCAATCCATTGTTTGTAAGCATAATGTTGTAATGGTCTTAAATCAGCTAAACTCCTCTGTATAAAATTCATTGCTTCCTTTTCTTTGTTACATTTAAATAGAGTTCCTATTAATGTGCTGTAAGCTGAATGACTAGGTGTACTACTCATTTTTATGTCATCCAAGACTTTTAAAGCTTTCTTCCATTCACCAATAGCACATAATGCATGTAAAAGTGAATCTGCGGTAGAATAATCTAAAACTTTGTACTTGTCATAAAGATCTTCATAAGTTCTTAAAATAAATTCTTTTTCAGATTCAATCAATGGATTCACTTTAGCTTTTTGATAATACAAGCTAAGGATACCATTGGTAACTCCTAAACTTAACACTGTTGTAGAACTCTTTAAATAATCAGAATATGACATTGCCAAGTCTATTTTTCTGCTTCTAACCATTGTTTTAAGTATTACAGCATCCACATTTTTATCATTCAAGATACCTGGTATATTAAGAACTTTACTTTTTAAATCAGACCAATCTGTTACTTTATCTTCAAGTGCCGAATTTAAGTAATCTATTTGGTCCGTTCCAGAAGACTTGGTCATGTAACATCGCATTGAATATAAAGCTGAAAAAAGTGGTTATAAATTAAATGTAGTCATCTTAATTTATTCGAAAACTTAAGTGTGTATGGTTACTGACCTGTGTTTGGTAATAGGCATTGTGACAAAAGTTTTAAGTTCCTGTGCATTAAATGCATTCTAGGTAGTTAAAATAAAGTTCAACTTCAGTTATATTAAAATACTAAAGAATAAAAGAATAAGAAGTCTAATAATTTTTATACTTTGTACTTCAATTAATATTTACTTTACCGGATACTAATCATTACGAATCAATTTAATATTATGTGTATTAGCTCAATTAACATTATGCTTTCATAAAAATTTAAACCAAAACATAACCTATAATGTTTAATTCAACTTATGTCAATGTCGTAAGATTTTTTTTAAATTTTAAGACCTGGTAACATAGACCTTTAGGTCATATCTAATTAGGAAAATGTTCATTACTTTGGGAAAAAGCATTAGGCCTGTCGTAAGGTTACAGATATGTAGCCAAAGCGTATATAAAATAGCCATGTAGCCATCCCTCATCAAATAATGAATAAGTGACGCACTTCCAAGGTTGAAGTGGAGCCTGGAAGTGCACTGTGATCGTTACAAAAGGCCTAAACGTAAAAAAATGATTAAACTTAGGTAACCATATTTATAGGGATCAACTTTTTTTTAATGTTATAAAATTGAATGCTTTATTTTTTTTTTAATTTTTTGACGGTCTATATCAGGCATGCGAAACTCTATTAGTCTATGGTACAAATTGAACGCAAACGGAGATCCTCCATCTTGAAAATTGTGTCTATCCCACTCATAAGTTTCTCTATAATTTTTGGGCTGTTTAAAAAAAAACCAT